CTGTCGCCCAGACTGGAGTGCAGTGGCCGCCTCGACCTGCTGGGCTCCGGCGATCCTTCCGCCTCAGCCTTCCGAGTAGCCGGAATTATCAGTAACTTCTTTTAACTGAGCATTTATCTGCTGTTCAAGTCAATCAAGGCCTGCCCCTAGAAGTATGTGGGGGTGGTGGCAGTAATGCCTCTCCCAGGAGAGCAACCAGCTGGTCATGCTGAACTCATGGAACAGGAGCAGAAGACACTGGGGAGGTTTCCTTACTAGGGTGGGACCCGCGCCCCTCTGGTTTTGCCACCAGAATTTAAACATTCCATTATAAGGGGTGGTCTTCAACTTGCAGAATTTAGACGCCAAATCCTGTCAGGCAGAGCTTGGCAGGAGTGAGGCGGGGGAGCTGGCGATGTACGGTCTCTCAGAGCTCCCCCAAGACCCTTCAGGGGCTCCGCATCACCCGCAGGATAGAATCCAAACTCTGTGATGACCTCCTGGGCTCTCTCTGGGACACTAGACCGGACGCATCTCTCAGCACTACTGATTTGCATTCTGTCCTGGGCCTGGCACCCACACACCCCACACCATGGCCTTGCTCAGGCTGTTCCCTGGCCTGGTGCCTCCACCTCCTGTTGGCCTGGCTGTCATCCTTTAAACCTCAACTCAGCTGTCACCTTTTCCAAGAAACCTTCCCTGATCCCTCTGCCTATGAAGAGTAAGAGCTCCCATAATACAGTGTGTGCTCCTCTATTTGTGTGAGTGATCTCAGAGTAGGAAATATGTATCTCTAGCATGTCACACAGGGTCTGACACACTGGACATTCAACACAATGTCTGAATGACAATAAATGAATGCATCACACACGAGTGAATGTTTGCCTCTGGCACCTTGCCCTTCTCTGTACCCTTTTTCTGTTGGGTATCTGCTTCATTTTCTTTGTTTCCTTCTTTTCCTTTAACGACTAATTCCTTCCTTCCTCCTTTCCTTTCTCCTTTTTTCCTTCCTCCTCTTTCCTTCTTTCTTTCCTTCCCTTCTTTCCTCCTTCCCCCTTCTTCCTCTCCTCCTTCTTTCCTTCCCTCCCTCCCTCCATTTTCTTTCCTTCTTTCTTTCTCTTTTCTTTCCTTCCTTCTTTCTCTCTCCCCTCTCATTTCTTTCCTTCTTTCTCTTTTTCTTCTCACTTTTCCTTTCCCTTTCTTTTCACTAGCTGCTTCCAGCAGGGGGGGGATTCCCTGTAAACTCATCCTTAAGTACAAATGACTAATATGACATAACATGTCTCCACCCGCCACTACTACCACCAGCAGCGGAGATTTTTAAAAACACAACACACAGTCTTAAAGTTAAAGGGATACAGGGTTCGGCATTGGTTAGGTCCAAGTGGTCTTGCTGGTCCCTCCTCTGCTCACTCCCTGTGCTGACCTGCTGCTGTAGGACAGGGCAGTAGGCATGCCAGGGTCAAGGGAGATGCTGTTACCAGGCAGAAAGGCCGTGACTCTGGGGAATGCCGCATATCGTAGGGCTTAGTGGTTGGGTGTGCGGGTTCTAGAGCCTGACTATCCAGATTGAAATCGCAGCATGACTGTTGTGCGACCTTGGACAGGTCACTTAACTTCTGTGAGGGTGAATACAAATGCTTTTCGCAGGAATAATCAGGAGTAAGTGAGGTAATCTCTACAAAGCACTTGGCAGAGTGTGTGACTCATGGTCAGTACCTGTCAAATATTAAATATTGTATCCATTTTCTATTGCTACATAACGAATCAGCCCAAACTGAGAGGCTTAAAACAATAATAATAATTCATCATTGCCTCATGGATCTGCGGGTTCTTGCTCTCATGCAGTTATAGCCAGACAGTGTGACTGGGGTTAGAATCATCTGAAGGTTCACTAGCGCATCTGGGAAGCTTCAAGTAACTGACGGTGGGAGCAGCCAGCAGGGCTCCTCAAGCATTCTCTATCTCTGCATCACTTTGCAAAGAAGACTCTCCAGCTTGGAGGGCTTTGGGTAGTCAGATTTCTTATGTGGACACTCAGGGTTCCAACAAAAAATGGAAAGAGAGAGAGGCTGGGCATAATGGCTCTTACCTATAATCCTAGCCTAGGCAACACAGTGAGACCTCGTCTCTACAAAAAAAGCATACATTAGCTGGGTGTAGTGATGCGCACTGGTAGTCCCAGCTACTCAGGAAGCTGAGGCAGGAGGATCACTTGAGGTCAGGAGGTTGAGGCTGTGGTAAGCTATGATCATACCACTGCACTCCAGCCTGAAGGGCAAGACCCTGTCTCTAAAATAAAATAAAATAAAATTTTAAAAAGTGGAGAGAAAGAGAAAGAAAGATGACTGAGAGGCAGAAGCAATGTCACCTTTCTTGGGTATAATGTCACTTCCTTATACCCTAATAGACAAGGCAATCACAAAAGCCATCCTGTCTCCAAGGGTTGGGGATACAGACACCACCTCTTGATGAAGGAAGTGGCAAAGGTCCAAAAAGATACGTGAGAGGAAAAGATTGTTATGGGCATTTTTGGAAAATGCAATCTGACACAGTATTGTTATCATTACCATTTACTAAGCCATATGCCTTGTGGCCTGCGTGTATTATCTTGAATTACCTTAAAGCATTGGATTGGTTGATTAAATGGTAAGATTAGGAGAGTATTTCTAAGCGTGGAAATATTCATAATACAGGAGAATTGAAAGAATCGCAGAAAGCAAAATCCTTTTCTACATAAAGGGCAAGTAGAGATAGCTGTTAATTATCAAGTATTGAAGAGTTACAAGCAATCCATAATTCAAATTACATTCAATTACTCAAAGCAAAGTTTAGTACATTTTATTTCAGTGGACTACTTGAGAAAATTAAACTAATTTATCTGCACCAGTTAAAAATGACTTGCTGCATTTCTAACAAATAGTATCTGTGAAGCTCTGGTTTTACTCATGAGCTCCATCAACTCTCCCACTGGCCCAGAGAAGAAGGCATCAAAGGAAGAGCATCCATGTGTCTACACATGGACAGAGTAGATGGCTATATCCATGTGCATGAATATCATGGACTAACCACTAGGTCTGAGATTTCCTCCATTTCTAATGTCCCATGAAGGCCTTCTTTTTTTTTTGAATTGGAGTCTCACTCTGTCGCCCAGACCGGAGTGTAGTGGCTGCTCCCAGCCACCGCAGCCTCGACCTGCTGGGCTCCGGCAATCCTTCTGCCTCAGCCTTCCGAGTAGCCGGAATTACAGGCATGCGCTACCACGCCCGGCTGAGTTTTTTTTTTATTTATTGTAGAGGTGCGGTCTCACTGCCCAGGCGGGTCTCGAACAATCCACTCACCTCAGCCTCCCAAAGGCACGGGATTACAGGCTGAGCCACCGAGCCGGGCTCCATGAAGGCCTTCTTAAGAAACATGCTTATCTAAGCCAAGGAAGTAGGGTCTCTCAGAGAAAAAATCTCTAACAAGCTAGCACACTAAGGGTCTAGTTTATCTTACCAAAATCTATGGCCTCTTATTGCTACCTGTCAGAATGCAGTCCCTGGAGGTATAAGTGATGGAATGGAAGGAGTCAAGGGTTGGCCAGGTAGTATGGAGTCTGAGGCATTGCATACCTGTTGTGGGTAGCTGGAAATCTAGGCCCTGAAAGGA